TACTGATTTGCATATTTGCTATTGACTCTAAGTTTTAAATATTATAATACTTCTAACATAGAAAACTACGAAAAAATGTATAATTGATTAAATTAATATTCTTCATTAAATTAATTAAAACAAAACATTGCCCTTAGTAGTTAGTACCTATTTCAAACTTATTAATATTGCATATATTATCCTGTAATAGTGGGACACTTTTCAAATTAACTTTAACCTTTACACTCTTTGTTACCTAGTCAAAGTAATACTTTTATAGGCATACGCTAGCTATGATTATATAAACATTATAGTAAACATTAACTTCTCTATAATTAATAATTTTCAGGGAAATTGTTGTTTCCATAAATGTATATTTTTACTTTAATATTTACTTTACCTACTATATTACGTTGTATGTGGACCCATTGAAGAAATTTAAAGTGTATACATGATGATTATTTTAACAGTAAGCATGGATTATTATAGACACTTTAACGGTTAAGAAAATATATGTATTTTTTTGTTTTGTGTACCTACTTATTTTGATGTAATTTTTAATAATATTTTTGAATACAAACTTTTTTATTGTTATTTTTCATATCTTCTACTCTTAATTTTTTTTAGTTACTTACTAGTTTTTTTTTGAATGAGTATTTATAATCCCATATTACAAAGTAAATTTTTTTTTGGAAATTATGATTAATAAAATTTGTGATTAGAATAAGTTAAATTGTCACAAAAATGTAAACTTTAAAGTATTTACGTTTAGAGTAGAGTGATACAGAATATTCTACAATTGTAACAGATAATATGTAAAAATTTGATTTTTATTTATAAATATGATAAGAAAATATTCTGATTTGGAGGATAAAATTAAAAATATTTGGTTTTCAAAGAAATAAAAAACTTAAAAAGTGATATAAATACTTATTTTATTTTAAAGAATCATATCAATAGATACCAATATTTTAGAAAACCATTAAGAGTTTTTTGATAATATGAGAGCTCGCCATTATAATTATTACCCATTAATATGAAAAACTCATTTTTATTTTCCTATTTCGTATAATGTATAAGTGTTCATCGAGTTATTTATTATTTAAAATAGTTCATACCTACTTCTGACTTAAAAATATCACTATATGACTATTATCTAGTGCTATATAATAACATAATAACAATTAAGTAAGTAAAAAAAAATAGTTAAACCATGTTTATTACGTATGATATATGATAATATACCGATATAATTTATTTATTCATTCGATAAGTTAATAGAAATAATTAATTTAGCAACTTTAAAGTCAATTAGCGATATACATAATATAATATATATTTCTAAAAAGTTTTAGTCTGTATACAATAATATTTTTACATAATATAAATATATAATTGTTTCATTTCCTTACATGTTCAATAGATTTACATGTAGTTAAAATCAGAGATTCGTTTTTCAATTGTTTTAAAATTAATTGATTTGAAAATAATTTATAATATGTGTTAAAAAGTTTGAAATTAAATCAAATCGTTTGTAATGTTCAACACGCAACACAACCACTTTACATGATCTAGCATCGTGGTTAGAAATGTAAATATTTTTAATAGTGAACACTATATAATACTCGTATAACGATTGCGCGTTTGCAGCGTAGAAACACGCACAAATGCTTTATTCTTTTATTAACCATATAATGTAGTCAAGAGTCTTATTATTATTATTATTTTTTTTTTGTTTCATTTTGAATATTTTTTACAACTAGCAAATGCTGTCAGTCATAAAAACAAAACTATTTCCTTCGCACGTCGTCGTGTACCTACTCGAAACGAAATGAGCGCATAAGTTGATATACACCAAATCCTTTGGGTGAATGATAAAAAATCTTCAAATTGAATTTCACATATAGTGATGTCAAGGGGATTCATCTATCCAAGTATTCAGAATGCAATTTGTATAATGTGATGATATCTAGGCCACGAGCTTTTGAAATTTTGATTCTCACGTCCTTCATTCATTACTCTGTTCTTGGCATTCAATGTAGACCATAATAGTTCAGCACAATTGTCTGGAATTTCTAGTCGTTAGAAACTATTATAACTGCTAGCCTGGTAGGTACTCTGCACTATTACASCATAATGGTTGCTACGAAAATATGCTCTTATATCTATCATATAGTTAATTTTTGGCAAAATGGAAAGCAGATACATGGACAGTACGCAGAAATGATACATTTAAAAAAGCGTATATAAAATAATTTAGTAACGGTGAAGGGTATAATGAGGTTTTTTCAGAGACACAAAGTTGTATCAGTGAAAAAAATTACAGCTAAATAGACAAGGTAAGTATGGACAAATATACAAACATTTCAATTTGTAGTTTCATAAATTGGGGAGTTTTTTGGTTTTAATTGACATAGACTTCATTGATAATATTAAAGTGTATTTATATATTTATATGTTTATAACAGTTCAAAAGAAAACTAAGTTATCTAACGAATGTTCATTAAAAAATTATAATAAGTGGAATAAAATGTTCATTGAGTCATAATAATTTTGTATTTTTATATATTTTAAATATTAAGGTCTTTAAATAGTTAATTATAACTTAACCTAACCTAACATGATAGTGATTATTTATAGTTTCCAATAATTAATTGAAGTGTAAATATATGTTTTAACTAATTAATAAAGTTTGGGAGTGATTATTATGAGAGATATCATATAAATGGAATTTACATCACAGGTATAAATTGGTATTTGGAAAAATGTATGCCAAAAATACCTGCACTGGCGAAATCCATGCTATATTGGATATGAATTATGTGTACAGTGATCTCCCTCTATTGGTAGCATTATGCATGCTCGAAAAATTTCAAATCGTGATTCTCTAGCAATAGAATCATGAAATATAGGTACCATTCTCGGGCTTTTATAATAAAATTCTACTACAGACAATAATATTGGAAGGACAACCGAATACGATTTGGTCCATTTCGTATATACTACCTTTTTCCATTAGTTAATGTTTTTTTTTGTTTTTAAAAACTAAACATTAAAAATAAAAACTATGCATCAAATAGATTTAACGCACGTGATTAAAAATTACACATGGTCGTATATAATAGGTATACTATAATTTTATCAAGTTTTCGGTATTTTGATAGCGATCTTGAGCTGTAATTTAATTTTTAAATGTCATAATTATAATTTTTTCACTGTTATATCAAATATTTAAGACAAAATATGAACTTTTTCGTTTTTCCAACAGACTTTTTGAAAAATTGGTTTGCATTTTGACTATCAAACTCTTGTGGGTGTGAATGAATTCCTTTAACCATAAATTATATTTATAATTTAAGGATAGAAAAACCACAATCAAAATTTCATCGAAAGACAATGTATAACTGAAATAGAAATCTGTTCGTGTTAAGTAAGGTAATTTTATATATGTCGATAGAAAATGAAGACAGGTTGAATATTTTTTTTTCAACCAATAGAAAAATAAATGGTAGCAGGTAAATAAAGATATATCTACCGTAGTACTTGAATTATTTTGGTGACATTTTTTGTCACATCAAAGAATATGCAATTGATAATAATTATATTGTTGTTATAGGCTTGTAATTTTATTTTTATTTTGTTGCAAAATGTAAAAATGACAAATACTTAATACTTTAACACAGTACACCATGATTGCATAGTCTCTTTAAACAAATTATAATATTTCAATAAGTCAGACTAAGGTGCATATGTAATTATTTGTTTCTTTCATTTATTCAGTATGATTGATAACTAATAAAATATAGTTGTATATGGTTAGGTAATTTGAAATTTAAATGAGTTTGAGATATCTCACGAGGAAGACGAAACTTCGAAGATGATGCTTTCGTTAGACACATCATTTGAATCGTAAATTGTGTTTTCGTTTAAATAAACGTTGTGGAAGCAAACTGAAAGGTATGCAATTCCATCGGAAGGCTAAACTTTGATGTTGGCTGGAAAAATTTGATTAATAATTATTATCTACAAGTAAAAATTTGTCTTACTTTTACAAAATATTTTAAAATATATTCAAGCAAAACTGATATTTAAAATTTCACCAGTAAATAGTTTTTATCTCTCAAATCATTTCTWATTAAATTTGTTATGCTTGTAGATTTTATATTAGACATGACGTATTTATTGATCAGTGGAAAAAATATTTATCTATTATATTTAATGATGTACATTATAATCGATAGATATCAGATAGAAAATTGAAAGTTTTTAAACATTAAATGGTTATTTTAACGTTAGTATTTAAATGTTAAATGCACTTATGTGCATATTGTACATAATATATATTAATTTAAAATACATTTTTATTTGTCACTGCTGAACGTCTATTACAATAACACTTTACATAATATTTCATTTTACGATTCCAATTGTTCAAAGCAGATTGTATTCATAAGGATCTAATTAATATCTATAAATTCAACTAAGCGTATTGAAACATTCACTACCTAGCCAAGCATAAGATTTTTAATTTGTCTTTCAATTAAAATCAAACTTATTCTGATAAGTATCAATGATCTAGCAAGTGTTTTAATTATCAATACTATTATTATTATATTTAAAATAAACGTTTGTTAATATAATATATTTTATTTTAAGAAATATGGTATGAAATCTTGTCTATTTTTATTTAAATTTCTAAATAACCATATAAACCATATAAAAATGATGGAAACAATAAAACCGTTAAATTAATAAATACACTTTCTTTTTTTAATCACTTTTTGTTCAGCTTATTCAGGTTACTAAAAATAATAATACATATAAAAAAATCTTCCCCGTTGCATTTTTTTTCTAGTAAATTTATTGTTTAAATTTTTTATAATATACAAAAACTATAAAAACTTGATTAATTTAAACTTATCCTTCCGTTTTTATAATCCTGGATACGATACTGTATCCACTTATCTCATTCGGTTTTTTTCCGATAATTAATAATCAATGTAGGTATCCAATGTGTATACCTCCATTACTATTTCACGTTGCAGTAGGTAGTTCATTGATTTGAAATATAAAAGTTTGTGTTATGAGTTAGTAAAATTGACTTTATTACATTATACTAAAAAAAAAAATACTTATTGATATTACCTATATGCTTATTAAAAATATATTTATATATTCTTTTGTGAATAAATACACTTTAATTCATAAAACTCATAAAAACATCGTAAATATTGGGAATTTTTAATCTTCCATTAATTAACCATGTTTGTTTAATTTTGAGGATTTTAATGTTTTGATTTAATTACAGATTAAACGGCACTCGTTAAATTAATTCTCTTATTTTTTTCTCAGTTTGTCAATACTATACTAATAATATTTACCAATATTAAAATATACATATTTAAAAAATAACAATATTTATGACATTATATTAAGATAAATTATATTATAATACATAATATATTTTATTTGTAAAAAGTTGGTATTACTGAATATCAAATCGTTTTATGCAATTTATGCCGTATTTAAATACAGTTATCAATTAACTATTGGATAGTTTAACTTTAATGATTGATTCTGGTAGATCTGGAGTTATGTCTTTCCAAGACTCCACTCCAAAATACTGAGAATATAATCACAATATCTGAATTTCAATCCCAAATCTTATCTCCTACATTTTAAACAAATATTATTTCATATTTGTTTATCTTAAAAATACAAAATAGTTTGTTCTACAAATCGTATAATAATATATGATCACAATACAGAATAAGAATAACTAACGAGTAACGATACCAGATGTTAGGCAATTCTCTCTTTAACGCTCAATTCAATAACAAAGAACTATTTAAAGTATCAATGTTATTATTTTATATTTGAAAATAAAAATAAATCGTTGCATTTGAAAATCTAATTCGAGTGGATATCGGTAAAATGGATGAAATTTTATTAAAAATGGATACACTACATATTATTATGTTCTTTGGAGTTTTTCGAATGAGTTTTTTTAAACTACTAAGAAATTTGACCTTTATAAAATACGAGCTCTGTTGTTCAATTTCCAATCAATTGATAAGGTCACACGCAACACTTTTACTATCCTAAAAATTGTTTTCAAAAAAAAAAGTCAAACCTATTGTAAACCAAATAGCTCCCACGGTTTGCACTGAATCTCAAATGGGGACATTCAGATTATGGTTTTTTGATCATTTTCCCCTTATCATTTTTATACGTTCTATTAACACAAATTGTCATATTTTCATATCTTATTTTAGTGATGTTTATTGGTATGTATCTTAATAAATAAGATGATTATTTTATCACTTCAATTTTTTTTTTAATTCTAAATATTTTTTTAAATATTTCTTTCACACTATCTGAAGTTTTTAACTTATTATAGTTTTTAAATTATAAAGTATTTTGTTTTAATCAAAATAAAATATTTATAATTTCTTACATGAAATAGTCATGAGGGTTTTATAGGATATCAATGTTTAAAAGTTGAATTTTGACTTTTGAGTATTGTAATTAGTTAAAATGTAGGCTCATAAAACACTTATAGTGGCCTATAACAACTATAATTAACTAGTCTACATATTAGGACATTTGATTTGTGGTACCTGTGGTAAATCTATTTTTGTTTAATAAAAATAGATTTACAGAATTTTATAGAATTTTTAAATTACACTCTTAATGTTTGTAAGATATTATTTATGTTACATATATTTAATAATTACTTTTCAAAATGTATTTTTTTCTTTTGAAATACATCACCTTTGAAAACTTCGTATTCTATTAGTCACTGATGGATTTTTTTTTGTGTTTTAAACATAAAACAAACCTATTATTTTTAGTTTTTGTATAAAAAATATATACTGATAGAAATATACACTACTATCTGAATTATGGTAAACTTGACCACCAATTTAGTATTTGAATTATTCAACATCCGGTTATTATATCTTTCTCCAGAGTTCATAAACTGTATTCTTTCACTCTCGTTTATGTTATTCATGGTCGATAGGTGTACATATTAGATGGATGGTATTATATTGACTTACAATTTTCTGACCTTTTTATTGACGATTAGTAACTTTCATAAAAAAAAAATAAATAAAAAAGACATTCATTGAAAATTTGTTTTTTTAATAAGATGGATAAAATAATTATTAATATATAATCCACAATAAGTGTAAAACTTAAGAATTAAAAATAGAAGACATAATAGAATAAGTAATTGCTTTCATCAGATATAATTAATTCAGAACATAGATTGAATATTTAATAATTTACTTATCGAAATTCTCAAGAAAATTATTAAATTTGAAATAAAACAATGTCGTTGCACAAATCTTACATACTCAAAATTAAAATTAATAAAATAGAATAGCTATTAGCTATTTTCAAAAACATTCCACATGCATTTTTTTWWAAATATTTTGAACTATTATAATAAWCAGTATAAATATAATTTTTAGTACTTCATTATTGTATGTGGGTGTTGTATGGGTATATTGTATGAATTGAAAACTTGYAGAATGCTTGATTAATTATTTTGTTTACACTTTTACTTAAAATACATTATAAAACATTCCACTTTGAGTATTGTATTCGTAATTTTCATTACAGAATATATGGATACATTAATTTGTAATCAAATAAGTTTTGGTTTTAAATGATATAATTCATAATAACTTAGAAAATATAATTTTAAATAATTTTAAAACTGTGAACAATAGCAGACTGCTTAAAATAATGGCTTATACTTTATACGATATAATATACTGCACACTTTAAACTGAGTTATTTTCGTGTAACAGTATATCCTATTTTTTCCTCAAATGTATTTTTGTAGTGATTAACAATTTATAACAAAGTAACTCAACTCTATAAGTTTTTGACAAGATCGCATATTATAAAGTATACAAATTGTATGCTTTTTCGCACTTTTCCTGACATACGTTATAAATGATAAAACTTCTAACAAATATTAATCCAACTTTAAGTTACATATTATAAAGTTTATGCGACTAGCTGTAGTATGTAATGAATACGTAATAATTTAAACTTACCTTATATGTAGGTAGCTAAAAACTATGCATTTTAAATAATAACTCGATCGCATATAATAATGTTTTATTTGTTAAGTAATTTATCTCAACGAGAAATGTAAATACTATACCATATTATGTTGTAGAAAATGCTATAATGCCATCACGGTCATAATTATAATTATCCGTGGTGAACTATATAATATATATGTATATATTAAACATACGATTCTTAACTTTGGTACGCGCAAAATCAAATTAAATGTTTTGTTATATATATATATTTTACGAGTATATAGAAATCATCTACAATGTACATCGATGATTATTTAAAATTAAACGATGATACACGTTAAATGGAGATACGAAATTAAATTATCCATAAGATATTTATGACGCATTTATTTCGTATAAATTTGGTACGCCATATTCTAGAACACTAACTGATAGCATTTTAATGTTTTTAATTATTTTATTGAAACGRTCGAGTAACATTTTAAATGTTCAAAAATAATAGTACAAACACAAAAACTGAACTTTAAAACACGATACATTATGTTTTTTATATATATATATAGACGATCATGATTGGTTAACTAATGCGTAGGTACCTATAATTTGTCTATTATTCGTAGTAGTACGAAGTCGAACATAGTGATCATAGTTATGACAGTTTATATACAGTAAAACTTATAAGTTCTGCGGCCAACAAAAAATGCGTATTAAAGAGAATTTTGTATAATTAAAAACTGTAAGTATTAATTTTTTTTTTTTTGATTTTAAAAATAATTCGTTAAATAAAGATTTTTTTTTAACAGAAGTTTGATATGTTATGAAAATTTCACTATACTTGGTGTTTTTAATAATTTTTGTTGTAAGAGGACTAATATTTGTTTAAAAAAAATCTACGTACCGCAATGAATGTAATTTAAAAAAAAAAAAAAAACTATACAAAAATATAAGTGGTAAAAATTATAATACCTCCGGATACCATGCATGTCAATTTCACCCGATCACCCTCGAAGAATGGTCCTGTGTGTTCTATCTCTTCGTTGTACTCGCTCAAAATGACTGGTTTCTGTGGAGGCACTGTGGAACAATACGAATAATTAATAAAGTTGTACTTGCCAATTCAAAAAACTTTGTTAGACAAGATATACTAATATTATATATAATATACATAGTATTATACTACTGTGAATATGACACAACCTTAAAGTCGCTCCTAATTGTTAATATTGGATACCCGTTATAATAACGATAATGTTCTGTTATTTTAAACCAAAAAACCCGTAATATAAACATATTTATTTTTTTATCATYATACACTATTTTTATTAGTATCATTTTTATAGCGGTTTAAATKGTTGAGTAATAAAAAAAAATTATTAATAATTCAAAATTTAAAAATAATTTAATGTTGATATAACACAGTTATTTTGCRAAAAAAAAAAACGGAAAATACCATTTTACCAAATTTTTTTATGGAACTATGTCGAATATGTATTATTCTTCAGTAAATTATCATATAATTACAAGTTTACTCTAAAAGTTCATACCTACTCGTGTATTACAAAAATACAATCAATTTATCAGGTATTTGATATTTATATTAATTTAAATTTTTTTAAAACATTTAATTCAAAATATTTGCCTAAATTAAATATATTTGTGATGAACAAAACGTAGCGCAAAACCTATTTTATTTAGAAAGGTTAAAACCGAGTGGTTTCGATTTGAGAATTCTTGTACAGCAGACACTTAATTTAGGAAAAACAATTTCAAGTTAACGRTTCTAAGGTATATGATATTGGACGATTATTTTAAGTTGTTACTTGAACAATGGCTACATCATAACGCATTAATTTATTTAATGTGGTATTTTGATTATCTAGTCAATGTCAATGTTTGGATTTAAATAATACTAAGTTTTCATCAAATTATAATAATTATAATATCATTTTCTAAAATATTATATGGTAAAATTAAGATTTTAAAAATAAAATTACTAATGTCTAATGTACAAGGCTTTGAATGTGTATGCAAATGCATTTGTTTAGTGTATAAAAAAATGTTTTTTTGATAAATCCGATCTTTTTAAGACATTTTTATTTTATTTACGAACAAATTTTAAAACTTTTTAAATKTTAACTACTTATTAACCTATTAGGTAAAACTAAAACATGATGATAAGCAATAAATGCATTGAATTTATAGTAATTTGTGATTTTTTTTTAAAGATACTTTTTCTACTATAGAATAAATTTCTCTAATTATAAACTTCAACGAAATTTCCARTAAACGAAAAAAATTAAAGAAGTAAAATTATAAAATAATAAAGTAATAAAATTAGAACCATTATACTATTATACTAGCATAATGAATAACAATAATTTAAGTGTTATTGGTCATGAACTACTTATGAATAGGTTACTGACTCAGTTGATGTGGTGATTTCGATCATAGTTGGAGACTCAGAGAAGGCAGAAGGGAGCAACAGAGTGAGAGTGGTTGGAGTGTTGGGTAACTCAAAAACATATAATATGTGATAGGAAAGTGGGTACATTATGTACTATCAATAATTYTTTGGAAAAACTTTAAATTGGCATAAACTCTTTTATCATATATAGATAGGTACATGCCTAATGCATGTGGTACAGTAGCATAGTCATTCAACGTGTGGTTTGTAATGAGAACGTGACTCGTGAAGTAGAGGAAGCACCTTTACACACGCTCCATAATTGATGAGTTGGATGCGATATAGGAATCCCATAGGATGTAGTCGTACTCTAATAGGGGATGAACTATAGAACAGTTTTAATACAGCCTTTATTGAGGTGTACAGCTTGAACTATTATAAAACAAATTTCGATAATTCTATCGTATTGTAGGCTTTTCAATTTATGAATCGGATGTGAGCGTGTAAATTTAGATATTAAAGCTGGTTGAGAGGAAAAATTATAGAAATGCCCATAACAAGTTTCAGTATCATTTAGCCAAGTTACTTGAGTACAARGTTTCTTGAATTATATAGGTATCCAAGAGTTTAGACCATTAAAAATTAAGAGTGTGTTCTATATTTAAAAAAAAAAATGGGTGTCTTCCTCGTCCAAAATTGTTTTCTTTAGTTATGAACTATTATTAATATACTTTGTGTATGTATTAGGTATAATGTTTGTACCTATGATGCATGAAATATAAAATTTATCAATATAAATACTATTGTCTATGTAATATGTAACAGAATTTAATATTAAGTTTTAGTCAGTATGAATTTTAGTARAAGTAGCAACATATATACTAGGTTAAGCGATTATATTATATCATAAGTGACGGGAATAGACACATTGTGAGTCCTTCAGCGGAAACCGCTTGATGTGGTTACAGTGACATTATTAACCAAACAGTAATTTAAGTGTTGTATTTTAAGATATGTTGTAGGTATGCATTTAATAGTTTACGTCGTAAGTGATCGGAATATACGTCCATACACGATACCAGTTCACCATCCCCTTAAATGAGCTTAATAGGTAGTCACCACGTGCAGGAAACAAGCAATTTGATGCGTACCTATTATATTATGCGACGTTTATCAATAAATTATGTTTATWTCATTGTATTGTATTAGATAATATATMATTTTTTGTTYATATTAAATTAAGTATAATTTTAAAACCATAACTTGAACAATTTAGCCAAAATATTATTTCAGAATCCCCAGTTTAGCAATATGCTATATTTTACAGACTGTGACAGCTTCGATAACATTTTATTRCTATGAAATTTACACCAGCTATCGTAATAATCATTCGATTAATCGATTTCTTTCACAATGGCAAGGGTAAATACTGAATAGCTGAAACTGAAAACTTTTTTAAATTTCCATTGGATGGGTTTCAGCATTTAGCTTTAATCTTTACCCTGGTTGAAATCATGATAAAGTTATAATATGTGTATTATTTAACCATTTCCGGTGTTCTGAATTATATATTATTTGATTTGGAAAAAATGTAGTGCTTCCGGTCCCATTTATACATTTTTTAGTTCGAAATGGAAGAGATAAAAATCGCACAGTCCCATTTCAATCATTTATAAGAATTAATACTAATAAAACTAAAAAAAAAAATTATCATAATAAATGTTGACATAATATTAGGTACTGCACATAAAATACGAATAATATAGTATAATACTCTATTATAATACCTATATAATATTCTATATTTATTACTTAATAATATTTTAAAAAAAAATAACAAAAACATGATTAATAGTTCAGGAGTATTCAGAGATAACTCAGTTACTCATATTTATTATAGTATGAAACTTATATCAAAATAATTGAACAAAATATAATATAATAATATTGTAATGTGCATAATTAGGCACAATTGAATAACATATTTGGAACTATATTACTGTATTCCCCTTGTAAAATATAATTACATATATTATTTTAAGCTACGGGAYTTTACCCACACCTAACTATACTCATCAATTCCTCTAGATTTTACCAACGCTCCAAATATTTCATTTATAATACATTTTATAATTCMATATTAATTCATTTTTTTATTTAGATTCTTTATGTAGCAATAAATACATTTATTTTACAATAGATTCTTTAATTTTATACTTTAAAGCACGGTTTTCTTATAGGAAAAATGCTTTGATCACCACCTTCGATGGAAGTTTCTTGTGTACAATTAAATTTAGTTGGTATTTTAAGGAGATCAAAATTAAAAGTTCTGTCTTTTTTAAATAATTGGAAATAACTTAAATAAATATTAGTATATACATACCAATATTATTATGAGATTAATTATTTGGTAACCAAGGTTTAAAGTTAGACCATCTTCACTAAGAATTATTTTTCATCATATGCGATTTATCATAATATTATAATTTGACACATATGCCATTAACTACGGCGCTTATTTAATGACGAGTTAAACTCGACGTATAATATTATATACTGTACAACAGTTTGGATACCTGCTTCCTCCCTTTTTTAAAATCATTTATTTATTCATTTATTGGTTATCATGATGGCAATAATTATAATACACTGAAAAATATTTTAAAACTTATTTTATAGAAATAATATCAAAAACATTTTGAGTTCTTTATCTTCTACCA